TTTTTTTTATCATATTTCGGACGACATACTAACCTATGACTTTTTTTATCATATTTCGGACGACATAGTAACCTATGACTTTATCATATTTCGGACGACATAGTGCAGACAGTAGAAAGGTGTGGCTGGAGATCACAGATGGGCACACAAACAAGGGCAGTAGAGCAAACGAGAACCTACACGTTAGGCAACATCGTGATATCATACGGTTAAACTAGACGCCCCATTTATACGACCTATGCTCTGAGTTAATCACTGACAGTTCATGTTTTTCACTCAGCAAACTGTTAAACATTATGTTTTAAGGTTATGTAAGGCTCCAGCGGGGCTTATCATTACAGGGATAGTGGTTATATAAAGGGTAGCGGGTTGTGCTGGAGTTATGGTGCCTGGTCTGAGAGCAGAGTTTGGACTGGTGGGCGAAACTGAGCTCTTCGGTGTTTTTGTGACCGAAGGGACGCGAAACAGGAAGAGGGTTTGTCAAGTTGTATTGAAGGGAGTGGGGGAGGGGCGGCGATATATGCTGTGACCTGACGGGGGCGCTTTAACCCCCCCCCCCCCCCCCCCCRCCCCCCCGTGTCTATTTTGAAATTTGTGTTGTTGGGGCTTATAATTATGCACACTCACAAACATACAGCAGTAATACTACATGAAAGCTGAGTGCTGCTGGAGCTGCCAGGACTGCTGGTGTTAAGGCTGCTTAGCCGATTAGTGAGGCAGCCCATCATAGCAGCAGGAATCGCAAGCTGCACACTTTACATAAAAATGTACCGTTCAGATGGTCCCTGTGATTTTCCACTGATACAAATTTGCATTAGCAGATCACTTAGAAAGTAAACGACAGAAAACTGTGATAATGGACCATATTTGTACTGCACTTGATGTCATATGTTTATTGCAAAATAGCAGCATAATATGGTAAAATATGAAGGTAGTTAATACAATAATACCTATATATTATATACAAAAGAAAAATGTGCAAGAAAGCTGCTGTTAATCCTATTTTAGTTCATCATAACCCTCCCTCAGCTCCAGTATCTGTCCTGTCATGAGTGTTCAGTCGCTCGGTCAGCTGTGTTGTGGGTAGAAAACCAGGGCAGTTATTTCCACAACCGTGTCCTCTGCCACCCGGTGTCCCTATAATTAGGCTGGCTGGGCCAGAGAAGTTCTTCTTGAGTCCGTATGTCTCAAGTTGCACAACCTTTGCTCTTACATAACCCCTGGGTGGGCGGGGGAAAGATAAACAACTGCACACCGTGTGCTCCGCTTGCATATCTGTGTACAGAGCCGCCTGACCCGGAGACATGAACGATCACGCAGGGTATTTTGGCACTGACTTGTTCTTGTCAGGTGTTTGTGCAGATTTGGTTCCAGTGGCGAGAAATGTGCGGGTTATGTTTAGGTCATGTTGTCAAACAAGGTGATGGGTTATGCAGATCTGGAGGCAAGTTTATAATCCTTTTTAATAAGAATTACATTTATAATGTCAACAACAAGTCAGATCTGATGTTCAAATTCATTCCTTCATATTCATATTTTGCCAAATAATACAGTTATAATCATTGTATACACAGAGATGTGAGAATTTAGCGCTTTACTTTTATTTTCTTTTAGAACATTTTGTTATTTTGCTTGGAAAAACCATTAAATGCCTCCAAGTGTTGTGTAACGGTGATTAAGCCTGATGGATTACTGAAGCGGTCTTTAGGGATTCAGTTGTACTTTCACTCTCCCATTATCATCTGTAATAACACACGCTTCATTTAACATGTGGATATTTGTCACTTAATTTAAAATGCATCATTTCTGATCCACAGGATTGAGAGCTACTCCTGTAAAATGGCAGGAGATGACAAACATATGTTCAAGCAGTTTTGCCAGGAGGGGGAGCCACACGTCCTGGAGGCTCTTTCTCCCCCTCAGTCCACCAGCACCACCAGCCCTTCACAGTGAGTATTGCTGCCCTCAGCCAATCACAACAGAGAAAGACAGAGCCAGTGTGAATCAGTTTGAAACACTTATTAACCATTATTGAATCTTATTACTGCAAACACTCGTGTTAGACAGGAGGGCTCGACCAAGCGAACTTTTCACACCTAAGTTGCAGCTTAGAAAACATATCAGCTTTTGTCAAATTTGTATAATTACCCAGTTTAATTTTGTCTTTCATCTTCATACAGTATTTTTTAATTCTCTTCCTGGTTGACCCTCAGTTCATGTCTCGTCTCGCCAGTTGTTTCTTTGCTCATGACCTCAATGTCATTTCTTGGGCATTAACAGTGTTTTTGGTTTTTTTTCTTGTTCTGTCCAGATATGGGAAGAGCAGTGAAGATGGGGAAAACCCTCTGAGTGACAAGTGTTGCAGGAAGACTATTTTCTACCTCATCACCACACTCAACGAGTCCTTCAGGCCCGACTATGACTTCAGTGCGGCGCGGGCCCACGAGTTCAGCCGTGAACCGAGTCTCAACTGGGTCAGTGTGCCGCTCTACAGTGGAGTCTGTCTTCCCTGTGGAGCAGATCTTATATTATAAAAGATTAAAGTAGAAATGAGTAAAAACCAGCTTTGTGAAGTAATAATTAGAATGTAATTTCTCTGCAGGTGGCTAATGCAGTAAACAGCAGCTTGTTCTCAGCTGTCGGTGAAGAGTTCAACTCTCTGGGGCCGGAGTTGTGGAACGCCATCGACCAGGAAATCAACCTGCAAAGCTGTGACATTTACAGGTAAGGAATGTGTCTGCACAAGCCTTTGTGTGTTACGTAGCAGGGAATTTATGCTGCTGCAAATCCCTTTAGTGCCCGGAAAAAACGTTTAAATATTCTTTCCTCGTGTTTGTTTGTAGCTACAACCCTGATCTGGACTCGGACCCTTTCGGTGAAGAGGGGAGTCTCTGGTCATTCAACTATTTCTTCTACAACAAGAAGCTGAAGAGGATTGTTTTCCTCACGTATCGCTCTGTCAGGTCAGTAACACTCACACTCATTTGTTTCATACTCCTGACAGATTCTATATCTGATGTTTTGATTTTAAAAAGCAGCACTTCACATAGAACTATACCAAACTACGAGTTTTATTTCTTACTTAAATAACTGGAATGAGTTCAGTGAAGCACTTTGTATCTTCAGTTTAATAGAATTGATTGATATTCACTGTTTCGAGTCAGTGACGATGTTATAAGTTAACGTTGAGTCGTAGAGTTTCACAATGAGTTGCCAAAAAAGATACCAATCAAATAACTTTAGGTGTTTGTCGCGATGTTAGAGGAATAAACCTGTCTGATCAGAAACTTTATTTCTTGCAGCGTCCTGAGCGGATATGGTCGCGATTGTCTCGACAACGAGTTGGACATGGAGCTGGATGATGAGGAGGAAATGGATGGTTTCACTGAGGACAGGTCAGACGGGTTTATCACCTACTGACACATTTTCACAGGTTTTATTAGAAGAAAGTCTCACCTGTGTTTATCTTTTTCGATCTCAGGTGCCCCAGAGCGCTGTGCGTGTGAATGTTCCCAGATGACTCACCCCGGCCAAAGAATATTTGGTCCTCTCCCCCCCTCCATCACTCCATCCTACCATTTTTGTGTTTGTTTTGGGGATTTTTTGCTGCCTCTCCCAAAGCCGTGTTCACATTTTAGGTAACTGCATGTTTGAAGCCCTCTCTTTTGCTGGCAGTGAACCATGGACTATGAGATGGTGGACTTTTTTCTTTTTTAAAGGCCCCACGGTCCCCACAGTAACCTGTAGCTCCTTCATTCTTCTGTGTTTTATCCCGAAGCTCCAGGCCCAAGAAAAACATTTACACACACACAAGTGGGGCTCCTGCACACTCGCCATGTTTCCAAAGAGACCACTTCATGGACGTTTGAGAAGAAGGTCTTGTTTTATGGATATGTGGCCAAAGGCGTTTCTCGCAAATGATGTCAGAGGAGTCCAGGTAACACCAGCACCAACGAGAACTGACACAGATAAAAAGTTTCTAATATTCCAACCTGGGGTCCATTTAAAAATCCAGTTTGAGGTTGACTGAGCAGCTCATTTGTTGTTCCGCGTTTGCTAACTTGTGTGTTGCTTTTACGTGTGACAGTGACGTTACTGTGAGAACTCTTTAGCGTGAGAACTCGTTAGCACTGAGTTTGAAACACTTCTAACCATTATTGAATCTTATTACTGCAAACAGTCGTCAGTACGTGTTAGACAGGAGGGCTCGACCAAGGGAACTTTTCACACACTGCAGCTTAGAAAACATATCAGCTTTTGACAGATTTGTATAATTACCCAGTTTCATTTTGTCTTTCACCTTCATTCAGTATTTTTTAAATTCTCTTCCTGGTTGACCCTCAATTCTAAATGTCTTGTCTTGCCAGTTGTTTCTTTGCTCATTACCTCAATGCAAAGGCATCATTGAAAAGTGAATGTATAGTTCAGTTTAGCGAGAAAAATACAAAATCTTGATAGACAAAATGGCTGATGTTTTCGGCGTTATTTTTTAGAAATTGAGAAGTCCCGTTTGTCGTTATTTAAAATTGGGCCGGAGTTCTGTGTCTTTTCTTGACTGCTTTAGCTTTTTCTTGGCTGGTATCGATGTGAATAAACTGGTATTTGAATCAGATCTGACTGTTTCTTTACATAATTCCTGGATCTGCACTAACAGTCGATCTTACAAACCAAAGTGTGAGAACAACTTCTCCAGCAGCGGTAAAAACAACCAAAGGGAAAAAAACTACTCGGACTCTAAAGTTCCAAACAAACTTTTAATGAAAACAAAACTGAGATACAGTACATGACCCAGACGATACTCCACCACACTGACAGTATAAGATCTGTTCCCTTGCTTTGTGAGATCAAGGTAAATATTTCTGTAAACCTTAATGCTGCAGAGTCTGGGGGCTGCGCAGTTCACCCGTTTCCTGTTAATATAAAAATACTTTGTCTCACAACCATTGCTAAGATACTGTGGACACTCGGCGGTATTTCCAGACCAAGATCTTTTCAAGTTCTGTTTTGGTTCAACCATATGCACCTCCGCTCTTTTTGGCCACTATGGAACTTGGTTTCAAAGTGACACGTGCATAGATCTGTTAGCAACTTCATGGAATTCTTACACCGCCTCAAAAAGGAAAACATGGGATTAAAAAAAGCCAGCTGTCAGATTCATACACACACTTGCAACAGCTTAGTTAAGGCTGAGGATTGAAATATAACTAAACGATGGCCAAGATACTGATTTCATATCGTCTTAATGCTACAAACCACTTGAGTGTAACAGCTTCTTTTAAATGTGTGGCACCTTTTTCGATGGCTGCTGATTTTGATGCATTTTTAGAGTATAACACACTTGAAGAGGACTACAGGCCAAAATGGCGGCAGAAAATAAAGAAAATGTTTATATTAGGATGCAGTGGATCAGCCACGCACACTAGTGGAGCACCAATGATTAATACAAAACATGTCGAGATGCCAACCTGCAGAGAGCAACTTAACAGCAGGCCATAAAAGCAAAGAATAAAATTAAATAAAAATCATTATACATCACTGATAAAAATGTTAAAATACTGTTATGAGAACAGAGCTTGGTACTTGCATTTGGAATCACATTTCAGCCATTTCAGGTTCTGCTCATTTAAATTAACAGCTGAAGTCATTTCCGTTTTGTTCCTCGGGTTAGATTGAGCACAAACGCTGCATGCCGAGACTTTGATTTGGCTTCATGACACAAGCACAGGCTCAACATGAATAAAAAGGGAGAGTTTGTACTTCAGCACGACACCAGTGTGGTCAAGTGTGAGGGTAACCACCATCAGTGTAGCTTATGAAACTGAAATTGCATGTAACAGATGTTGAGAACAAAAAAAAAATTAAATAATGACACTAAAGTGTAAGACACCCGATGAGCTCTGTGCAAAACTCGGTGCCACCGTCACCATCGAATGTGGTTCTACAATACTGCTTCTACTCCCTTTGTTTGTTCTGTTAACAGTGACCTGAACACGAACAAACTTCTATAGAGCAAAACAATAAAAGAGCTGCATCATATTTTCTAATCACTGTGACATTAATGGCTGAAATGATGTTGTAGTGTAACATGATATGTATGAAGCGTGAGTGTCCGGTGAAGCCCCTCCCCCCCTCGCACCTGGACATCCACCGATCTGAAGAAAACTCCTCCTCCTCCGTTAAAACCACCTCTCGCTCCACAACCAGGTCAGTTCATAGGTTCTGGTCACTGGTGTTTTATCAGTTGCGTTGTAACAGACGTGTCAGTACAGCCATACTGTGCGGTCCGCAGGTCAGAGTCCAAAGTTGTCATTAAAAAATAAAAATCGACTATACGCCAGCTGTTTCGCCACCGAGGGGGTGGTGCAGGTAGTGAGGCCGTCCATGGTTGAGGGAGGGGCTATCTGAGCCCGGCTCTGGAGGTCATCCACTCGAGACCTTGGCATAAACTGGAAAAACAAAGATGTTGGAAAATGTGAACAATGGATGAATTAGCGACACACACAGCAGAACTTCAAGATTTTACGTATCAGAGTTTCTGCAGGATTCTCCAGGTTCAATTTAGGACTTCAACAACTTTGACTTCACAAAAACTTTAAATAATTATTTCACAATTACATCTCAGCATGAAAGTACGATGGAAAATCAGTTGAGAAGTTGGCCAAGATTTTTTGCAAAACTTCCCAATAGTGAAAAACAATAACTAAATAATTTACTTTATGAAACCTGGACTTAAAAACCTGCAGATTCTCCACACACATTTTTGTATGTGCTTTTTATTTTTATTACTCGGTATCAAGAAGAAAAGTTCCTGTGTCTTTCTGGTTAACACATATCCTCTTTTCTTAAACTACTGAAACACATGACACCTGAGCACTGTGTATTTTTCATTTGACACAAACACCACAGTCGTTTTCACACGGCTGCAACATGCCTCAGTATAAAAACGATTCTAGTCCACTGCTCTTACGGAGTAAAAATCAGTAGCCATGTATAAAACAAAACTAATCTATCCATCATCCTTGTGAGCCAAACTAATAACTATGTGTCTCCCTCTGAAGATGAATTAAAAACATCTGTACAGTTATTGACTCAAAGTCTGGCAGCTGGAAGGTTCAGATCATAAGAAGCTGATGGAACTTCATCTGTGGAATCCTTGAGTTAATTAAAATTCTGCTAACCCTGCACATACATCACTGTCGGCCATAGTTAAACACAAGATGCACAGATGTGTCTTACCCCTCTCCTGTAAGTGCACAGCAGGACTGTATGTGCCAGGGGTGGTCTTTGATGGAGCTCAGGGTGAGGTATTTGGAGATCTCCGCTGCAGACATGCAGTCCTTCATATCCTGCTTGTTGGCAAATATCAGCACAGCTGCTTTCCGCAGGTCCTGAGTGAGAGGACGGAGAACAATGAAACCATAACCTCCTGCTCTCCGACACCTCAACACAATGTAGCTGCGTGTGGGGGAAGGGTCGGGTCGGAAAAATAAATGGCCGTGACAAAAACGGAGCAGTTTTCTAAAAGGAGAGTTTTACCTCATGAGCCAACATCCTGTAGAGCTCCTCCTTCGAGATGGCCAGCCTCTCTCTGTCTGTGCTGTCCACCACCAGGATGATGAACTGGAGTGCAGGATGCAAAAACCACACTGAGTGACCTCACTTCAAAAAAACATTTACAGCAATGAAATGCAACACGGCGGGGGGGCAGTTCCAGGCCCAGAGCTTCACAATGGGCACTGATGACTGCTACGCTAACAGCTCGTTTAGAATGACAGAGAGCGGCCTCGCATGACAAAAGACCAAAGGCATGTTTGTGACGTGAGAGACCACGGCTCAGGAAGAAGACACTTTTTGCGTTACGGGCAAATGAGTGGAAACGTGTTATCCAACATGAATGTGACCCAGATCACGACCGGGGACCGCTCCGCTCTGGACTGAAAGGGTGAACGCGGGCTACTATGGTAACGGCTGGGCTCCAAGTAACTCTAATAGGACGTCTTTTGTAATCAATGTTTCTAGTTTCTGGACCACTCGCTCGCAAATTCTACATTTATTCATTTCAAACATGCTTGAAGGTTATAAAAGTTTAATGTGTTAAATTCACATAAATCTGTAATTACACTACATCAATCACTGCTGTTACATTATGACAACTAAAAAGTAGTCGAGGGTATTAAATAAAAGGTCAGAATGGAAGCAGATTTAAATTTCTGCTAGAAAATCAAGCCAGTAATTTTTTCTCCTAATCTGGTGGTTTTGTTTGTGGTGTCTGTTATTCTTTTTTATGTACATGGCTTTATTTATAGAATAAAACATGTTTTCATTATTGATTAATCTGGCAGCTATTTCAAAAACAATAAAAACAAGCTGACACAAAGAAATTTGCGATAAAATGTCAAAAAATAATCATGTGAGAAATTTTTGGGGAATTTACTATCAATCAACTAATAACCATTACTCTGACATTTTCAGTTTTACACAACACAAAGAAACGCCTCAAATCCTCAGAATAAAAACCCTGGATCTGGAATAAGACAGAGGATTTTTTTTCTTGAAAAATTATAAAAATAAGAAATCGATCATCAGTAATTGACTAATTGTTTCACCTCTAGTTGAATCATTAAAGTGTTTTTCAGTGTGACAGAGCTGAGTTGAGTCTGGTCCTGTGTGGATAGAGTTCAACCTGTGAGATGTGACCTTCAAATGGCCGAATAAACTCTTGCTGAACATCCCGTGTCACATACAGGGTTTGTGTGTGAAACGACATTAGTAAGTAAGATGTGTTGCCCGAGAGACGAGAGAAAAAAAAAATCAACTGGGTATAAGTTTCATCAAAAGACACATCTGCCACGACTAGTTCCTCGTCGCCCGCACACTTCTCCAAAACACCGTGCAGACGCTGACCCCAGCTTTACTTTTCAGACAGGCCCTTTGTGAAAGCCTGACCTCTGACTTGGGCGGCTCCTGCTGCCGTCTGTGCTCTGAACAAACACACCAGCTGCCACACTCAGGAAGAAACCGGCTGCTGGACAATGCTACAGTTCCCCTCGTCTACGACAAGCTTGTGTTTCTCACCTCTGTGTTGGAGTAGTAGGTGTTCCAGGAGGACCTGAGCGACTCCTGCCCTCCGATGTCCCACATCAGGAAGTGTGTGTTCTTCACCACTATTTCCTCCACGTTGCTTCCGATGGTGGGAGACGTGTGGACCACCTCGTTCATCAGACTTTGAGCAACAGAATCGTCGAGTTAGTTTTTGTTGGTTTAGATGCAGAAAACAAGGAGGAATTTGAACAGTCAAACTACTTACAATTGGTAGAGTATAGTGGTTTTCCCCGCGTTGTCTAGTCCAACAATTATCACTTTGTGCTCTGCAAAACAGAAACAGTGCGTCAACAAGTTAATTTTAAGACTTTTTATGGCTGTGACGTATGAAAATTAAATGAAGATTAGGTGAAACAGCAAAGGGGAGAATAACCGTCCTATCTCGAGAACCACAGACAGAAGCAGGAGGCATTCAAAGTCTTTCCCACAGCCAAGCCAAGCGTACTGAGATAAACTCTCACCCAGGTGTTTGTCGACTCACATATCAGTTCCATGTGTAGTTTTATTACAACATTTTAATATGTGTATCATTGACAAAGAACTACAACACACAGAGACATCACAAAATCTGCATGCCACCAAAACAAGTGTGTAAAAAACCACCCAACTGATTATAAAGAATGATGGAAGTAACATTAAATTAGCATTACACAATTACATTTACATATTGTTACGCATCCACGTTTTCTATGGGAAAACATTCTTCAAGTCTTCAATAGGACAATTATCAAGAACACACTCTTGTGAATTAGTTGTCTTCCTGTCAGTAACTATAAAAACAATATGGCATATAGAGAATGTAATAAAGTAAAATGCAATCAGATTTAAAATCTAACGTTCCTTTTCTTCCTTCTCCAAAACTTGCTAACCTGATTTTTCCAAGCTTCGCTGAACCTACAGTAAATTCTAGCTGTTCATGAAAGCAGCTAGCAGAGCTCCGAGGAGTGTGAAGCAGGCGAACACCACAGACTGAACGCAGAAGCAGGGGTGACACGTATGTGCGAAAATATCCCACTTAAGGGTTTTGACTTTTCTGGCCTGTCTGAGGCCTCTGGCTTTGACAGAGGAAGGAAGTCTGGTCAGAGGGCTTTGCAGTTGTGTCTGTCTTTGTGCACAATATTGGATGATACACGTCTATTGCTTCCTTAAAGAGGAGCTGCCCTGTGACGGTACTGACAACTCAACTCAAGCTTCATTATTAACTTCATACTATTCTCTTTACGATATGAAAAAACACAAACAACTAAATAGAACCAACATCCTGTCTGTTGGTCTGAAGAAAAATTCTCCAGGACTGATCCCTTTATTCTAAAAATGTCTAATGTTACCAAAACAAAGCAGATGTTTGTGGATTTATTCTGCTGGATTATAAAAAAAAATCTCTTTTTAGTAAT